CTACTCAGTCACTCTGGTCGTCGGGGTCGCCAAGCAGACCTCTATCTGTCAGATCCACTGCCAAAGTTCCACGTGCTTTCGGGGGCGGGATCACACGACCTGTGGCTTTCGGCACATCAGCAAACCTCGGCATTGCCTTCGGCCGTGCAGCCTTGGCCTTCCCCTCTCCGTAGGCCTTCGGCCTCGTCTCTGGGGCCGTCGGTTCTGTGGCCTTCGGATCTGCGGCCCGCTCTGGGGCCTTCGGCTCTGCGGCCCTCCGGTCTGCCCTCCGCTCTGCCTCAGGCTTCGGCTCCGGTGCTTTCGGCGCTGCCGCCTTCGGTTCTGGGTCCGGCTCTGCTGCCTTCGGCGGTGGGGCCTTCGGCTGTGGTGGTGCCTTCGGCACTGGGGCCTTCGGCTCTACTGCATTCGGCCCAGGCTCTGGGGCCGTCGGCCCTGTCGTCGTCGGCGGTGGCGTTTCTGGGGTCTTCGGCTGCGGAATTTCTGGTGTCAGCCTTGTAGCCCGGGCCTCTGTAGCCTGCGGTGGCGGCGTCGGCGGAGTTGGTGGCACCCATGGCATTCCTGGCCTGTATTCATCATCGTGGCGTCTTCTCTTCGGGCCAGGCGCGGAAGGCTCCTGCAGGGGTATATGCTGCGCATGATGTATGCATGCATTGTATATATATATATATATATAATATATTAAGTGCATGAAGTTATACAGACACGCATGTGTGTATATATTATATTATTATATATATATGTAATATATATATATATATATGCATGCAGCTATATATCTATATATATCTATATATATAGAGAGAGAACTAGATGTATGCATATATGTACATACATGCATATAATAGTATGCATCTATAACTATATATATATATATAATATAATAATATATATATATATATATATTATATATATATATATAATTTAAATATGGTATATGTGTGTGTCAGTGATATAGATATAGCATATTGCAATTAATATATATATATATACAGATATATATATATATATATATTATGCAGAGGATTGTCGCCTCCAAAGCGTGAGATGGTCTCTCATGGCGCTCGTGGTACCTGTCCTGCGAAACACACCATGCAACAACAGACGATCGGCACATGCATGCATATGCAGGCAATGCGTGAAGAATGCGTGAACTCTCAGTACGGATGTGCTCATCTCCGGAGAGGGCCCTGTCCTCTGCAGCAGCTGGTGCGGCGATCTTCTTCCCAGCGAGCATCCATGAAGGCGGCGGGTCCTTTGGCTCCGCTGGCCCATGCCCCTTCGGGCCACTTCCAGTCCCAGGCCCCTTCGGGCCACTCCCACTCCCAGGCAGCCCATGCGGCGTCTGCGGCGTAGGCGTAGAGGTAGGCGGCTGGTGAGGCATCGACGGGGGGGGAGGCCTAACATGCGTAGCTATGTTGCAGAAGCAGATCTGCGGGTAGATGCGCACGAGCAGGTTGTGGAGTCGAAGGGCCTCGAGCTCGGTCAGGTTCAGCAACCATATCAGCAGCTCTCGGTCCGAAAAGTCGCTGAAAGCGCGACTGGACTCCATCGTGCTACCCTCTGGGAAGCTGATGCAGCACCCTGCTGCAGCTTGAGATAGAACCATGCCGGAAGACAGCGTGTAAATGTTCATGTCATGCATGCATGCATGCATACACAGCTGCAAGCAAACCGCATGCAACACACAGCTCACATGACATGCTGGCTCAATCCTCCAGTAGTGGCCCGACTTGTAGATGTCCTCCTCGGATACCTCGTCCTCGGGCTCGTCAACCCCGCCTTCGACAAGCACGGGACCAG